AGTGCTCGGACGTCAGCTGTATAGATATTCTCGGACCTGCTGTTGTGTTTGGCCTTGCCCTGCTCTGCGCCCTTCCCAGTATTACCCCTTAATCTTCGTCCTTGCCTTGCTACCATGTTTTCTGTTACCGCTCAATACTAATATCCCCAGAAGCAAGGTTCTATATACTTATACAGACCTTGGCGAGAAATGCCGCTGCCTCGTGTGCTGTTCCCGCCTTGCGAGTGACGACGCGGGCGCCCATTAACGCCAACAAAAGAACTCGTTTACGGTATGTGTGTGTGCATGCGTTATATCGATTTCATTTTCATTATTGACATAATGATGATGGTGGTGGTGGTGTTGATGATGATGTTGATGATGATAACGATGACGATGTTGATGTTGATGATGTTGATGTTGATGATGATGACGATAATGATGATGATGATGATGATGATGGTGATGATGATGGTGATGATAAAAATAATGATGTTGATGACGATGATGATGATGATGACGATGATGATGATGACAATAATGATGATGACGATGATGATGATGATAATGAAGATGCTGATGATGATGATGATGGTGATGATGATTACTACTGTCACTAATAATATTATCATTATTATTATTATTATTATTATTATCATCTTTATTGTTATTATTGCTATTATCATTACCACACCTATTATCATTATTACTATTATTATAATTATTATTACTTTTAGCATTCTCAGTATCATAATTGTTTGTATTATCATTATCATTATTATCCCTATCCTACTCCTCATCATCACTGTCATTATTACCATTATTACTATCATGAAAATGATAAAATCATAGTAATGATAATAAAGGTAATGAGGGTAATGATAGTAATAATAATAGTATTAAAAATAACATTATTATCATAATCATTATCATTATTATTATCATTATAATCACCAACATTATTATTATTACCATCATTATTATCACCAACAGCAGTAATACTCTCTGACTCATAGATATGATGTATGAATACCGTGGCAATGTTATGCTAATATTTCCCCCTGTAAAATGATTGTTTATACGTAAACACTTGCAAATTCCATCCTGGTGTTGAAGTGTGGTACCGCTGAGAATCCCGATAAAACAATGAAAACTAAGAGAGGAACCGCCTTTTCGTGGTGCGGAATATATATAACTTCTTCTCCCAGAACATCCTTCTTGGAGATGGTCTTCTTCCTTCCGTTGAGGTGGGCTTCCTGTTGGAGACCGGGGGCTTTCTCCTACTCACGTACTTATCTTGCATGAGTATGCCCTGTGGCTAACAATGCACATCTCTGGTCTCTTATTCCGGCAAGACGAATGGTTTCATCCAAGCTTGGTCAGGTCAATCGATTGGTTTTCTCGGTAGACTAAGATCAAGTTGTGACCGCTTCATCGGCAATGCATAGGTTCCGCCGCTGCCTTCAGCAGCAACATGTACCCTGTCGTCATTACCCTGTAGCTGTTAAATGGACAGGCTCTAATACTCACTTTTACTTCTTGGACTTGGACTTCGGGATGGATGAGTGTGTGAGAGGCTGTTCTCTATAAGGAAAATTTTGCTAAAAAAATTAATATCTTAACATAACGGGACGACTGTCAGTAGAGGATAACAACAGCCACCCTGGAACCTAACCAGACTCCTGGGAACAAAACGAGACCTCTGGCCTCAGATCTTGTGCTGTCCAGAACTAAAGCCGAGGTCCCTTTCAAGTTGATGTAGGCTCCTGAAATCCTAAAAGGTCCTATTCTTTACCACAACTTGCAGAAATAGAGGAATACTTATTGTCCTCAAAGGTCAGCATACACTGATATTCCTCGAGGAAACAAAAAAAGTAGAAACGTGAGCTTCATGACTTAAACATTTGTGGCTAGGAAAGTCAAGATGTTACACCGTGGCTTCCCTGATATGGACCTCCCTCTTGTAGGAGAAACTTGTTGGAGAACCTTCAGAATTCACAGAACCCCTAAGAATCCTCCCCCTCCTCAGAGAGGTTGTCATTTATACCCATGACACTATGTAGCAAGATGGGCTGTATGGTTTGAAAGGGAATTAAGGGGGGCATAGAAGGCCAGATCCCACTCAGGCCCAAGAACTGACGCGATTCCCTCTCATTAATCAGTCCTGGAAAAACTATATCCCCAGAGTTTGAAACGCTAACATAGTTCCTATCCCAAAACCAAGGGAACTAGG